GACACAATTTTTCCCCAGAAAACGCGATTTGCTTAGCCTGGATCTTTCACTGATGTGGGTGAATGATCAGGTTTTAATACGGAAAACTTCACACACTGAACACGAGATAAACTGTAGGCCAAAGCCTTTTGTGTCACACTATGGAATGATGTAATAATCCAGAATGGCAGTAGAATTGGAGAAAGTTTATAATAAGCCAACATTGTATAAAGGCAGAAATATAACATAATAATGCTACCTCACCCTTAGCATAAACCTTGAAATCTAAGAGATTTTTACTTCAGCATGTTTTCAATACTGCACTACTGACCGCAGTGTTACTGCACATTTTCTTTAACTTCTTTGACTTTGCTGTGGCCATGATTATTATCTAAGGTCAGAACACCTGAAGAAAATAATATTTAAATTAGACATAAAATAACTGAGCATCATATACAATCAAAGTGTCTTTAACGTCTAACAATCATGTTTTAACCACAAACTATCAAAATCCAAAATAAAGATTTTATGGGCCACGCTTTAAATCTCTTGGGCATCAAAATATCTCACAAGCCTGAGATTGTTGCTGGTATTTTATAGATGAGTGAACAATCTTAGCAGTTGTAGCACCTTTAAATATGTATTTAAAATAGGTTTTTTAAACAATCATTAAAGTTTAAAAAAGGAACTTAGGAGCAATAATATCAGTATGAAAAGGGTAAGCACAATAAAATATAAAAAATAAGTAAAAACAAAGAAATACAGTTTGCAAACCCAGCTGCTTTTTAAAATTATGATATGATCAATTACAAATCATTTCAGCAACTTTTAAATAAGAAATTGATCTCTTTTCAAATTTATAGAATATGTTGATTTCTATGGGCTGCCACTTCACTCTAAATCAGTCATCACTGATTAGAATGTGAGTTTTTAACATGACTGAAATGTTGTGATGATTAAACTACTAACAGTTTTTAAATACTTTTCCCATGTTAGCTGATAAAGCCAAGACTAATGGATCAACATGTTGATGCCATTATTAGAGAAATAGTAAACATATTTAATTTTTATTTTGACTTTTTGGTTCACTCGGCTAAATGGATCTGATGGATAAAGGTGGCAATTCAGAAATAAGCCCTGGAAATCATTTTAGTGAGGACTTTGACAGTAATGAGGTTTTTTTCTACAATACTGAAAAATATGTTTTAATGTATATGTAATAAAAAAACAGCCCAATATATAATTATTTTTAGAAATAATAGTAGTAATAATCCTCGTTTAGAGAGTAGTGCAGTCGAGTGGCTTTTTCTTTGCTAAAAGTGAACAGGTTCTATGGTGAGTGGAGCTCTTAGTCGTCGCTAAGCTGCTATCATCTTTAGTTTCTGTGAGGTTTTTCCTGCCTCTGATTTTTGCTCATGTTTCTATCAGGGCCCTCTAGCAGTGCCTATCAGAGCCTGTCATTGGACAAAAGTATTTAGATTAACCAATGAAAACCAATGACTACTGATAGAGGCCAGTCAGAGTAGCAGTGAGAAATAGATCTGTGATGATCAGGTAGTAAGAAGTGTTTCACAGTGAGAATGAGAATTAGTTTCTTTTTATGTCCTCACAGTAACAGAATTTACACTTTTTGTAAAACAGAATTTTCTGGCAGCATCTATCTGGGAATTTTTGGCAGCATCTATCTGGGAATTTCTTCACCTGCTGACTGACTGTTGTCAGCAATTCACTGTTTGGCCACCAGAGGTCTCACTCTCCTGAGTACTAGCCCTGTTCCCAAATCAAACCACCTGTAACTCATCTCCCAATTAGTCACAGCTCAAATACTCCTCCCATTCAGCCAGTCAATGCGAAGTGTCTGACTACTGTGTGTCTGTTTTGTTTGTCTTGCTGGTATTTTGAACCTCTGCCTGATCTGTTGGATTCCACTTTTGCCCTTTGCCCCTTTTGCTGTTTTTTGGACTGATCTCCCTGTTATGAGTCTTTTTGCTTTGCCTTTTGACGTTGAGTTTTGGACTTCCCTTTTTGTCAATAAATCTGCATATGGATTCATCTCAAGTTGAGTCTGCTGTACAGATTTGGAGCTGAAAGTTAAACCACAACAAATAGCTTTTTGTGTTAAGTAGATAACTTAACCTAGAAAACAGCTAATGTTGGTAATTATCCTTTTCCAGTCGAGTCATATTTCAGTCTTTTTCACAAAAACATCATCATTTCCAACAGAGTTTTCAACACTTAGACTGGTTTAAACAATTTTATGGTTGCCAATGACTTTTGTGCAGTACTGTATAAAAACAGGGGTGTCACACATAATCATTTAAAGGGCCATATTTAAAAAATCTCAACAAATCTGTGGGCCAAAAGTTTTTATTTAATTTTAATTAATGTTGTGCTGTAACCCCAACTGGCCATTGTTCATTCAAAATACACAAAACTCTAACAGTAAAATACAGGCACTTGTAGTAGACCTTGAAATATTGCATAAATCCTTGAAATCTTCTAAATTGGCTGAACTGCAGTCAGTGTGTTTGGTGATGTGACTGGTGTGGAACTGTGTAGAACTAAGGTGTAACCGCTGTCCCATAGACTGTTGTTGGGGTAGTAGAGGAGGTAGTAATATTAAAATATTCAACTATGAATGAAGACAGATGTTTTATCTCAGTTATCTATATTCTGCATTTAATGACCAGAAAAGTAGGAATCGGCTTCTACAGTATAAGAAAGGTAATTTAATAAACTGGACAATCTCACATTTTCCTAATATATTTTTTATATATATATTTGATGTGATTGATTTCCTGCGTACACTCACCTCCCAGAAATAATGGCAAAGGAATACATGAAAGTTAAAACCTCTAAAATGAGTCTCCAAGAGAAGCGCTCTGAGTTTCATAGGTAAGCACATAGAATGTCTTTATCCAGATTTCTATCCTTGTACTGACAGATTATTTTAATCTTTGCTATGAAGTACTTCTCCAATATTTGATCAGAACAAATAATGTTTTTAATAGAGCACTACACGGATACATGAACCAAAACAACAAAGAAACTGTACCATATGAAGATTAATAGCACACTGAATCAAAACCATCAGAAATGTAATATAGTGACTGTACAAGTGACATTTTGGGTGGCTTGTATTATAGTAGTGCTTTAGAGGAACTTTCTGTACATGAATTATTCACTGTACATTAATAAACATTACAGTCACGCTCCATTACAATTACATCTTCATTTTGAAACATTCATTGAATACATTAAGTCATGAGTTACAAACATATGTGATAAATTGAAAACAAGTTTACTGTATATACTTCATATAATCATTCATTAATTAAAATAAACTTTAGATTCTTTTCAAGGAAGAAATATGATTTTAATCACATAATATTCAAAAGGTTCACATATTACTCCATTATTTATTCAGTCCTACATTAAGTGTCTGTAGTAACTGTGTAGTTACACATGAATAACATATGCACCGACATTGTAACTACTGATGATTAAGTCACTGTTACAGATGGATAACAAAACTACAGTCTATGTAATTACACGTGTATCAACTTCAGTTTTGACTCATGTAATTACTCAAATATATCTTCTACACAGGAACTTTCCTGCAGTGCAGTGTTAAAGTTACACTTTAAAGTAAGTAGACAGTTCCTGTGTAGTTATTATGTAGGTATGAATGTAATAATAGAGTAGTACTATAAAAATGGAACACATTTAATTAATGGGTCCCACTTTATATTAAGTGTCCCTAATAACTGTGTACTTACATATAAACAACATATGCAACAACAGTGTAACTACACATGATTTAGTCATTGTTACAGGTTGATTACAGAAATATAAGTTGGGTAATTACACATGTGTATCAACTTCAGTTTGCCCCATGTAATTACACAAGTGTATCTTGATAGTTGTAACAGCCTATTCTCTCACATGTAATTACACAAGGGTAGTAACATAAGTGTAATTACATTTGTAATCACACTGGAACAGCAGTTTTGTTCTGGTCTTTTCCAGCAGTAAAAGAAAGTGTGTAATAACTTACATTAAGACATCACTTACACTGGATCAGCTATGTTCCTAAAATTTAGATAATATCTTTGTGCCTAATGCTGTGACATTGTAACCAGTTTCAGCTTTAAACCATTCTTTAATGTGACAGTGCAGGAGATGTCCCCTTATCCTAAAATGTAACTTTTAAGACATTAATTAAATGTGTTGTACTACCCCCAAAGCAATGTCTCTATTACCACTCCATTACACAGTACCTACATAACAACTACACAGGAACTGTCCACTTATTTTAAAGTGTAACTTTTACGTAAGTACTGTGGAATAACTGTGTTGTAACATGGTAACCTGATCACATCACATGGATTAATACCATTCTGTAATTACACTCTACCTACATAACAACTACACAGGAACTGTCCACTTATTTTAAAGTGTAACTTTTACATAAGTACTGTGGAATAACTGTGTTTCATTATATTTCTCCAAGTAATTCCAGTAGGTTACTTTGCAGTATTTAAATTGCACAGAATTTCAAATGTTTTCATGAATGTACACATTATCATAGACAATACACAAAATTAGATTTGAAATCTTTATTGCAGGTCCTTTTAAATCAAACTTCTCAAATCAAACACTTCTTAACACTGAAGAAGTCTTCTCACTTTTTACAGTAACATTTAACATCTACTGATGTACAATATCAGACAAACTGTAAAAAAGTACCCAGTACAAACAGGACTGCCTTAAAATATTATGTTTATCAAACATCTAAGTGTAAGTTCACAGAAGAATAATGTCTTACATTTTGCAAATTATTCTTTGCAGTTTAACTTTTTTATTGTTTTTTTCAGCTATTTATCTTTCACTGATCTTAAAAAATAAATAAAGCAAAAAGCAAACCCTAAACATACAACAATACAAAGAAAAAACAATCAAACAAACAAAAAACTGACAATGACCTGTTTGATTGATTTATTTCAATTTGTAAGTAAGTGGGAGCAACAAACCTGCACTCTTTTGTGCATTTACGGCAGACCGGACATCTGCTGTAAGTGCTTCCTGGCACCTTCAACTGAAATCAATCAGCTTCTCACTAGGTGAAAATTTAGGGATAGATTTGAAAAAATCTGGATCCACCATCTGTAGTTCTGCTACAACAGCAGTTAATGCCAAAGTGTTTCTGTCGACACCAACTTTCTTGAAGGCCCTATTCATACTCCCCTCCTTCTTGAAGGCTTTAAGAGTCATCTTGTACCGTTTCAGGACATCCTCGGGAGTTCTTGCTAAACCGAAAGAAATATAAAATTATTAGGAAAATAATTGTGTGGAAGACCAAATTCAAAGCTCAAAAGCTCAAGTCAAAACTATTACCAGTCAGAATTATACTGACACAAATTAAATTGGTCAAACAAACTTCATCTGAGTTACTGTACTTGCTAAACATAATGTTACAGAAAAATGTTAAGGTCAATTAGCTAGCTAGTTTCTTAACCTAGCTGCAGACAGCTTGATAAGTATATCAGATGAAACAGGACTGTACAACACTCATATTAGTAATTACAACATTGTGTTTAAAGATATATTCATGAACTTGTACACATGCCATTCTTTGTATTATTTCAATAAATAAATTTGCTTTTGTGTACAGCACAACAAGTCTTTCTTAGTATCTGATGCTGCTTTTACTAGCTACAATCTTGGCTTCATCATTAGCTCATCTGAAGGGGCAGCTTCTGTCATTAAAATCTCCTACTGGAATATTATATAACTTTTTTAAATGTTCTTTTCTATGTGCTCAACAATAACTAAAGGAGGCAGGACCTTCTCAGTAAACAGTGAATTATGGCATAGACTACAACATATTGGAATCTTCTTATAGTCAGAAGCCAGGACCTGCTGACAATTTTGTAAATAGGAGCCATTACCACGTGTTCCTGACTGGACTTGGAGTCGCTTTTCTCTAAAAACCAGCTTTTCTTTCTTCTTTTTGCCATGCTTCCTTTTTCGTGGATGTCCATCATCAGATGAAGATGAGGTAGAGGAGGAAGGTGGTGTGTCATCACTATCTGCAGATTCTGACCCTATGTCTTCCAGACATACCTCTTCTCTGGAGACCCTTTTATCTATAAATTAAAAATAAAGGTTATAATGGTTCTACAATACAATTTAAAGTGAATGTAATGTGCTTCCACAGCAAAATCACCAAACCACTTCTTTTTGGACCACACTTTGTGCACGGGGGTACTGTCATACTGAAACAGTAAGAGGTCCTCCCCACAACTCCATAAGGCACACAGTTATCTATAATGCTGTAAATGCTGTAGCATTCATATTTCCCCTCAGTGGACCTAGAGGCTCCAGGCAAACCCACTAATTATAAGGGGTGTCTACATACTTTTGATCATACTTTTGTTTACCTGAGTTACTCTACCCAAAACTAAAGTGAATGCACTGTCCATAGCATTGTTATTAGCATTGTCATTAATTCATGAATTCACAGCAAACAGTCAACATCATCACATAAAATCAACCCTTTATGTTTTAATGTTCTGAGCTTGAGGAGGTCAGGGAAAATCAGCTTAATTTTAGCCATAGAGCATACCTCCATACTTAAGAAATTCATTTTCCACAGAATATTATATCTTATTTACAACGATGTCAATTCACACAGGATTACCATAAGCTGAGGTACTGAGTCTGGAACAATTACTGACATGACACATTCAGATGGGACACAAACCGCTGAGAAATGCCATTAAACTGCTTGCTGACTAATATTAAATAATATATGCAATTAATATCCTATTACATTTTATTGTTAAAACACTAGTAACTGTCTCTGTCTCTGCTAGGGGCTTCCCATACTGCAAAATACAGTCTGAGGAAGATTCTCAGCATTTTGCATTTTCCACACAACCTAAATGTCCTGATAGTTCAGAGGAGTTGTAACATTATGAAAATATATTTCATGGCCATACAACACTGAGCAGAATAACTTCTTTGATAAGAAACCATTTTCTGTCCATTGCTAAAAATGATGCAGGAGTTACGAAGCCAGGCCCATGTCAACAAAATACTGTTGTGCCACTGGAGGCACTCTGCACTGCAAGTGCAGATGTGTTTTAAAAGGAAGTAACTAAAAAGTCTGAACTTTGACGGTACTGATCATTAGCAACTGCTGCTAGTGACATTTTAATACTTGCTAACCAGGCCATGGATAATTCTATCCAAAGTGATTTTTATGTGGAAGTGGTTCTTGACTAGCAGAGCTCATGGCTGCACAAGCACCAATGTTAGTGACATTGTGACCATTCCGGGCAGAGGCTCACAGGACTGTCGGAGGAACACTGCCATGCACATTTCATGCTTTCCCTGCTTTAACACACCCACTACAAATAGTAAATGGTTGTTAACAAGCTGCTATTTTGCGTGGAGGTGATTCTTGACCGACTTGGAGAGTTTGTTGCTGTCACAAGCACCAATAGAGACACTCACAGGACTATCAGAGAAACACTGCCATGCACATTTAATTGCTCTTACTGCTTTATCTCACCATTACAAACAGTCAGCAGTTGTTAAAGAGCTGGGCTGCCTAGTTTTCCAAAATCATCTTATTGTTAACATGATTTTAACTGGTAAGGAGAGTGTTCACTGAGATGCTTGCGCTACTATTCATTAAGTTTGCTTAAAGATGAATTCAGGAAACCTTGATTTCCTGAAAATTGTGTTGGAGGCACTGAAAACATTAACACGAGCAGGGCAGCATTCCAGGACCAGGGCTGAGAAGCACTGCGCTAACCCAGCATTTCCTTAATATGAATATACATCTCTGGCCATCCAGGCCCTCTTACAGTCCTGTGAGCCTCTGCTCAAAGCTGGTTACTATGTCACTAACACACACAGTCGGTCAAAAATAACTTCCATATAAAAAAACCAGTCACTTTGGACAGAATTGTCCTCTACTTGGTTAGCAACTGATAAAATGTCATCACTAGCAGCGATCGCTAATGCGCAGATACCAGCAAAGTTTATACTTCTTCAATACCTTCTCTTCCACCTGCACTAAAAAGTCCCTCCCCATTTCCCACTCACTGTGTTTGATTGACAGGAGGGCCTGGTTGACAGTGAAACACACACACACAGAGAACAATACAATTAATTCTTACCAGAAAGTGTTTTCACAGTTTGCCTTAGAAAATCTCTTTCCTCTTCAAGTGCCTTTATTTTCTGAGTCATGAACAAAAGTTCAGCATCTCTGCTTGAGGATGGCTGGTCCTTTGACATTACATCTTCTATTTGCCCCACATGTATAAAGCAATAGACAAACATAGAAACACTGTTTATTTATGTTCATTTAGATACAAGTATCTCAGGGGTGATGGCTGATCTGTATAAGCCAATAGTTTTTTAATTAGTGATTTTTTAAATCAACAGGCAACAAAAACATTAAATTTGTTTATTTGCTTTTTACCCAAAGCTGGCATCCAGAGTTACACTATATTGCCAAAAGTATTAACTCACCAATCCAAATCATTAAATTCAGGTGTTCCAATCACTTCCATGGCCACATGTGTATAAAACCAAGCCCCTAGGCCTGCAGACTGCTTCTACAGACATTAGTGAAAGAATGGGTCGCTCTCAGGAGCTCAGTGAATTCCAGCGTGGTACCGTGATAGGATGCCACCTGTGCAACAAGTCCAGTCGTGACATTTCCTCACTACTAAATATTCCACAGTCAACTGTCAGTGGTATTATAACAAAGTGGAAGCAATTGGGAACGACAGCAACTCAGTCACGAAGTGGTCGGCCACATAAAATGACAGAGCGGGGTCAGTGGAGGCTAAGTTCTTAAGTAGTATTTGGTGATTGCCAAACACACCCACAGACTAAGACTTCCACATCACATTATCGCACCAGACTCAGGGTCAGAGCTGAGTGCTTCCTCCTCTTAGCTGTGGAATCAGTAGCTACATTTACATGCAGCCTAATAATCCATTAATTATCCGACTAATAGCTCAATTGGAATAGAATACATCCATGTACACACCTCAATCAGAATAGACTAGTCCGATTGAGGCCATTCAGAATACAATTTTTATTTGATTGAACAAGGGGGGTAATCCTGTAAATAATCCATTAAACAGAAGAATAATAACCATACTTGTCTATGATTTCCTTTTCAGATACTGATCTTTTTAGTCCCGCAGATGCTACCAGATGAGCTGAGCTCAAAGTTTGAAAAACATTACAACAACAGCAACAGTAATTAAAGTAGGTGCCACTTTCCAGAATTTTGTAAGCAATTATTTACATTTCTGTGTTCAAGAAAGAATGAATAGATACATTTACTATACATTCACCTGAGACATGTGCATGCTTAGATGAAAAAGTCAGCTGTGCTTAAATAAATATACACAGTGAGCAAAAAATATTTTTCAAAATTGTTAATAAACATTTTAAAATGTTCTTTGATTCTTTGATGGACATACACTTGTCAGTAGTGCAATTATTTAACCAGTCCAACATCAGGAGAAGGCTTTGGGATCCTGGTGATTGCAACAGTCCAAAGGGAAAAGGTGCATCAGCCCTCATCCTCCAAGCCTGGTGGCATCTTGTCATAGGGTCAGTCCGTGGGAAATGGTAACAACCAATTAAGTAATTTTAGTGAATAAAGAGGCAACCACACCTCACTGTTCTTTTTAAGGGGGGGTTTATACTTTGGTACGTTTATAGACTTCAGATGGCAGCATTCTCACTTGCTCTAAGGAGCCACAGTAACAGAGCTATCACACCAGGGTTTGTTTTATCCAGCCAAACCTGCCAAGTCTGAACACTCCCTAAGTGGAGTTAAAAAAAACCTGAAAAAAAACTTTAACTTTACACAAGACTCCTAACGCTACATTCGTCTACCACTGTAATATGATTAAATAGTAAGTCGCTCTGGATAAAAGTGTCTGCCAAATATATAAATGCAAATGTACTAAAAATGTGAGTTTGGGGAGCTTTTGATTAAACTAAGAGTTAGGTGAAAATCTATGCAGCAAGCTGGCCTGTGATTTTAAGTTATCTAGCCTTATTATTGTTTTAATGCATGTCCAACAATTCAGTGTTTAATACATAAAAAATTTATTTCAATTGCTCACCTGTATTTTTTTCCTCATCAGATGTCTCAGGCAATAATACTAAAAGAGAAAATAGTTACAGTAATTTAATGCAGAAGTGGATAGTCAAAAGATAGATAACAAGTGCAAATGATGTACAAATACAGCTGTCTATGTATTAGTTACATACACATTAATGTATGTAAAAGTATGTAAATGAATCTACTTCTTAGATATGTCAGTGCAAGCAAAACACACAAAGCTGTGCACCACATTCCAGTAGAATTAATTTCTAATTATAAGGAAATAGTGTGCATGAGATCTTTACAGTTTAACTGTGAATGAAGCATATTGTTTTCTAACTGTTAACCTTACCAGGCTCCACATCCACGTCCTTGTCCGTCTCTTCATTAGACATCTCTGTTGCAAAAGCATTTATACAGTATGTTAGGCTTTATACAAGAGCATGGCTTCAAAATAGGAATGCACAGTCAGATTTGCTCAAAACACTAAAACAGCAATTGGGAAATTTCTTATTTCCATTGTGACAGAAGTGTGTTGCAATTATATGAGGTAAATAATGTAAGCCAAGTAAGTGCACTCACACTGTACTTGAAAGCTGCTGCTACATCTGCACCACAATTTCGTAGCATAATAATAAACTAAACTTTAAGCTAAATAACCAGTTACCAATTACTTTCAGTGGAACATTTTATTGGAATCATGTCATTTAAATAGGCAACTGATTTAATATTGACAATTTAAAATGCCAGTTTGGCCCATTAAAAAGCAAATGCGACTTTGACAAATTAAAAGTGCTGGAAATGTGTGTTTAATGTGTTCATTTTTCCCCACACAGTGTGAGCTTCAGATAAAAAGGCTAATAACTGTAAATTGGAATCACCTTAAAAATTCATGATTGGTGCCTCCCTACTTTAGAGTTCACTCTAAGAATTATGATATAGGTCATTTTTGGAAGTATACAAAATGTATATTAGCCCTGCTGATATGACTTTTAATAAAAAATGTTGCATGGCCAGAACTTAGTATGGTAGGGAACGAGGCAGTTAAGAGTCTTTGTGAACGATTACTAAGAAGCTTTGAGTTGAAAACGTCCCAGTTCCTAGTCGACAAGAACGCAGCTCAAGTCAGTGCCTTACTTTGATGCTAGCTAGCTAAATATAACTTACCCTTGTCTTTGATTTCCACTGGTCCGCGGGTTCTTTGTTTCTTAGTACTTCTTTTCCCAGGCAATGTTTTACGACGCGTTCGTGGCATTATTCTGAACATAAACATATGAAACCACAACTGTTTTTGACCAAACATATGGCTAATCACACAGTTTATGCTTGATGCTTATTTTTATTGGCACCACGTAAGACATGAGGAAACACCCATCCCTTTATTGTGGCAGATCGGCTGAGGATGTGTAGTGCTTTTAAATCTAATGGCTTAAACAGTTTAAAACCTGTATTAGACATACTCGACACACCTACCGCAGCTGCGGTTCTCAGGCTGCCCCGAATCTCCGCCGCTCTGCGTTCAAAACCCGAGAACAGAACCATCGCGATTGTTCGGCAGCCGATTAAAGCAGTCTGCGCATGCCCAACCGATGGTGGGGGGGCAAATTACCGCGAAAATCCAAATCAAACCAACGCTGTTGCTAAGGAATAAATCATCCACGGTAAAGTAAGCTAGCTGACAATGGCCAGAGATGTTAAATTATCTAAACAAATACTCGATTTAATTCGCCGTTGCAACAAAGGTAAAGGCAACAGAAGACTGATTAAACGGCTGTGGAAGAAAGGACTGCTGTGCAGTGAGCCATCCTGTCGCCGCTGCGGGAGGAAGATGACGTTTTCAGCGCACAGTGGGTCAGATGGGTTTATATGGTAAGATAATTTAGCCCTATGTGAAAAACATAACTTGGCTAGAGCTGGAAAGTTATAATGCTTGTATTAATACAGTCTTTTTTTTTCTTTTAAGGATGTGTCGAAGGAAAACCCACCACAAAGTTACACTGTCAATTCATGCTGGATCTCTGTTCAGTAAATCCAGGGTACCTTTGTGCAAGTGGATGGAGTACATTTACAGGTATCTAAAGTTGTCTACCAATAAGCTAAACTTACAAATTGTATATAAACACGATAAATAAATAAATAGTAGTATCATTAAAATAAAATGTGGAAAAAGATTGCTATTGATGCATGTGACCCCTTAAAATCCCAGTCTTATTACACACTAAGACTTATTATTCAGTATCTACACAGACTACAGTGCAAACTGTCTGAGCTATCCTAAGATTATAGAAATGTGTAATAAAACTTTGGGCCCACTGTTGGACACTGGCCTTTTAAAGGGTTTACCCCATGTTAAACATGGAAGTATGTTAATTATTGCATATGTTATTTGCTTAGGCTTCTGCTAATTTAGCTGAATTTTGATAAGGTTTTCTCAAGGTCTTCAGCTGAGACAGATAGATTTCATAGAAGATGGAGTTGCCCAGAGCTCAACAACATTATCCAAAATGAATGCACTGCTCAGAAAGGTATGAAATGTCAATAATGATTTACAGTACATGCTACTACATGACGCATTCATGAACAGTAGAGTAACGCATCAAAACTTTTGGTTAACTTACTAACAAAGTTAACTTACTGTTCTTTGCATTCTTCTTATTATTCTTAGGTCAAAATTTTTAATATTTCTCCATGCACAGTTTTTGAGTTATACCACCAAACTTTGTGCAATCATACAATCTATACCCTTCTATGTTTTGAATTGATTAAACGTACAATTTTTTGGTCATCACTTAGACATTAATTTTAAAAAAAGTTAATTTAATGAATGAACATTAAATTATAATGAAGCAATTCTGATGTAGTTAAAGTTATAGACATAGAATACATTCATTAACACTTCATTTCTCTGAACTTAGCCTTCAGCCTTCACTAAGCCTTCAGTAGAACACTGTTACCACAGAAATGCAATAAACAAAAGAGCTCTTATGACCATATTTACAAACACTTTGAATAACAAGGAATGTAATTTGGATCTCTTCAGTAGGCTTACTGTGTGCTTAATATCATATGCTATTTATGTCCTGTATAACATTTAATTTATATATGAACATGTAATTAAATATGCAAGTACCAGTAAATGTATTTTTAAACCATTGTGTATGATAATGTACTTGTAATGAAGTAGGCAACACTTTACATTAAAGCCTTCTTCAGCGCATATCTATAATATCTTACATAAACACTTTATAACATTAAATTAAAAGGCAAACAGTTCACTTACCATACTTCTGCAACATTTTCTTCATTAAAGTCAAAATCATACAATATTTACAGATGTTACAATACCATATAGTGACTAACACTACTATTATTTCCCAACCCTATCCCTACACTAAGAGAAAGGGGTCAATAAACAAAGTCGATTGTTTAAAAATACAAAAACAGTCAGCAGTTGTTATTTGAGACAACATCGAACAGCAGTTCACATATTAGCAACGAAATACTAAAAAAGTGATTGGATCATAGTTTACTATTGGCTGACTTGTATGTCATTATGTTTGGTAATGAGGTCTATACCAAATCATGAGCTAACTATTATGGTCAGATTAATTTACCACATGCAGAAATATTTTTATTTATTGCATTAGTAGATTTCCACCACTAGCATAATGCTAATTCATGCGCCTACCAAAATAAACAGTGAGAGCTAAACATTGCTATGTAATGATATTTGAAAATGTTTTTCTGATACACAGGTACATATCATGATATTACGCTTTTGATAATTGGACCAGAGAACTTTCATAAGTTGAAACAGACCAAAAAGCCCCAACAGTGCCAAAAATAAACAAATAAATAAATAACTGTGCTTATACAATTAATAAATTAAATGTTTCAATTATACAATTACAAATTATACAATTAAAATATTTCTAGTCAACAAATATTATACAACTATTTCTAGTTTATTTCTCTGCACTGCACTGTTTACAATTAAACAGGACTAATTACGCTGTCTTTGTAATGACACATGCATTTGTTCAGTGTTCTTTATGTTCTGACGATGGCCACAATATGCTCAGAAATCATTTCACGATATTAATAAAATATTGGCCACCCCATATTACAGTGAGTAAATGTTTAAATTTAATACATTGTCTCTGAATTTAACAGGCTATGTTAGAGGAGGTGGCACTGCTGGTGGCCTGTGCATATCAACTCACGCTCAAAAGAAAAAGCAAGCAACTTGTTCTGTCAAAAGACATCTGATATGAGCAGAACACATACTATGGAAAATGTGTATTGGTATCATGTCTGCATTTTTGAAAGTTTTCTGAGGAAGCACTTGCAAAATGTAAAACATTTAACACAGCCAAGTTGCTTACTTTTGCAGTTGCTTGTTTTTTTTTGTTTTTTGTTTTTTTTTTACAGTATATGGATGGAATTAGACAGCGTTGCATTTTGTGTATTTCAGACAGACAAATCTGTTTTTTATCACTTACATCTTGGTGGTAAAGTTTTTGGCTGTTCAGAGTTTCACTGTAAATAATACAGTATATGCACTCTTTTAAAAAAAAAATATCTCTGCAGAAAATGACATAGTGATGAATATTAATATAATAGCAATGTCTTTGTGTGGTCACTACATCTGTATCACACCATGAGCTAACTATTATGGTCAGATTAAGTTACAATTAGTTTGGTCTAGAAGTTAAGTAGAGCCTATCCGTGTGGTGCTAAAACGAGAGTCATTACAGCGTAAAGCAATCATTATGATTAGGATGTTTTGTTTCTATATAAATGACAAAATAAACTTACACTCCACCTATTTTAATAATTTACAGGTAAGCATCAAAGCACTGAGGAGGATGAGGAGAGAATGTGGTCAAAGACTTGGTGGAAAGTCAAGACGGAAGTTTGTAGCCATATATGAGTCAAAATTGGCCCACAAAAGAAAGGTATGTATATGCTGATATATCAAAATATCAAAAGCAAAATTAGATTCATGTGAAGTACATACCACAGTTAATTCTATATTGCATGTATTGGTCTAAACTGATTTAGGTTCAGAATTACTTTAAAGAAACAAAGCACCTAAATATGTGATATTCTGTTATATCCTGCACTGTAAAACCTGCACATAAGAATTAAGTTCAACTTAAACACTACAGAAAGTTAGAGTAACTTAATTTGGAAAAAAAAATACTAACTCAAAACGGATTGTTGAAAGTAACATATTTTGAGTTAAGGTTAATTTATTTAAACATATAATATTCAGTATTTTTATTTAAGTTGACTTAACATGCAAATTTAGGCAGGCCAATAAGGGGTTGTTTTTAAAGATTTTAGTGTGCCTGTATTGTTTTCATCTCTTCTAACTATATGCACACTTACAATGAGTGACAGGCTGTTTACTCCATGTATTAGTCTTAGTTTTACCCTATATCAGGATTAACTATGTTAAAAGTTATGGATGTTATGGATGCCAAACAAAAAGGGTCACCCTTAGCACAAGCAGAATACATTCTAATTTTTTAGCTAAAACATAAGTTGATTCAGGGGTTGAGCTGTTGGTGAGTTCTGTATCAGTGAATTCATGTGATAAACTGCATAAATATTTACATTTAAATGATTTAGACTTCTCGTACTTCTCATGATTTCAGACATTCAAATAGAACCTTTGAGTTGTATCAACTTATTACAATATAGTTTAGACTCCTTAGCTTCACTTGACAAATGTTTGATCAATGTAACCTTCTTGAGTAAAACTCACTTCATTCCTATTGATTCTTGGCTCCATATATTTGCATATTGGGCATGTTTTTTCACCTTGTTTACCCTACTGTCTGTGTGTTGTCATTCTCCCTAGCCTACCTTTCCTTGGATGTTGATTAGGTTTCAAAACCTTTGTATTTTTTCTCATGCTGTGCTGATGATAAATCAGCATTGTGGCAGCTGAGTTACCAAGCATGTATTTTCTGAGTATGGTTCTGTGGTAGCTAAATGCTGCAGAAACTGATTGAAATGAACACAGTTAGTACAGTTTACTCAATTTACCTAAGTGTATAAAACATTGAACATATGTTTTGTTCATACTCAGTTAAGGGAATTACTTATGGTCCAGTGATATGAGTTATTTAACTTAAACCATTTAAGGCAATCGGTTTCCACAAACCATTTGAGTTGACTTAACTCATCAGGTTTTGAAGTGTGTAATTTTTTAAAACAAGGACACTGATGCAAAGC